TAAAAAAGAAAATAAAGGGCCCTCCCTGGTGGCGCAGCGGGTTAAAGCACAGCATTGGGAGTCTAAAGCCGCTTCCGCATGAGTTCAATTCCCGCCTGCCCCGGAGGTGACCACATGGCGTGGCAGACCTCTCCTGACCCGCCCGCTGCTCCCCTCAGCAGTGTACTTCGTCTATCTGCCTGTTCTGTTCCCCACTCTGTCTCTGGTGAAGCCTCTCACCGCCCCTGAGCCTCTGGCCTGTACCCCAGCTCTGTATGCACAAATAAATAAATCTTTAAAAAAAAAAAAAAAAGAAAATAAAGTTGAAATTTTGAAAACAGGTTTCAAAGAAAAAATCGCTTGAATATTTTATTTAAAAAGCTATGGCCATGCAACCTTATGGTTGACAGAGAGATAAACCAGTGCAAAAGAATAAGGAGTTCAGAAATAGTTAAATATTGATGAGAGCCGATTATATGTTACTAGGGAGTTTTAATTCAGTGGGAAAGTTATGAAGTAAGTGGCATCTGGAAGACTGACATCAAAGTACTATATATCAACATATTCCGGACTGATTAAGTCAATATAAAACTAAAATAGGCATCACTTCACCTAAGGGTCCTGGATTCCCCAGGTCTTGAAGTTCATGCCGTGGGGAACCTGGTCTCTTCAGGACCCAGCAGGACCTCTTAGGGCTGCGAGAGGTCAAGGCTTTGTTTCAAGCTGCAGAACATAAATGGGGACGGATAAAGCAAAGTTTATCACTATCTTTGGACTGCGAGTGTGTCTCAGTTGAGAAGGGTACTTGAAAATACATGACTCTCGGGATCTCGAGTTGAGATAACGTTGATGAGAAGCTTCTGATAATTTGGAGCAGTCTGTCCTGGTGGTGAAATCTATTCGAAGTCACCTGTCTAACTTGCAGAACCATTCTGCTGTGCTAGGGAAGGGAGGCATGGTCTCCAGGAGTGCAGTTGTTGACATAAGGGACTTAGGAAGAATGTTGCCACCTCTCTTTACTCCATGGTTGAGGGTGACACCTCTGGGGGTTGTAAGCAGGCCCTTGGGCTCTGTGGCAGATGTGACAACTCCTGGAGAAAGATCTTTGCTGCACCCACTGCCTCTGCAGTACCCTGCAGCTTCGTGTTCACACTAGCATGTGAATTGTCCATACTAGCATGTGAATGACTCAAACTTACATATGGTAAAGGAAAAGAATGGTATTTCTGATCTCAATTAAGATCTTGTTCTCCATTGTCCTTAAGTTTTCCTGTATTTCTAAAACAGTCTAGGGCACTTGTGTTATCTTTCAGGCTCAGACTGTAGTCTCAGGGACCTTGTCTCCTGTGTGCTCTCCTCCGGAGGGGTGGCCTCTTGCTCGCTTTCACTAATGGCTCCTACCTCTCCCACGAGGTATCCCCGTGAATTGCAGGACATGGCGTGGACCCCACACCATGCAGCCTTGACCTCGTCCCCTTGCTAAAGGGCTGCTTCTCCCGGGACCTCACTGACATGGGGGCGGGGTTTGGTCTTTTGTGAGCTGGCAGATGAGGAGTGCCGCTCGGGTGGGCATGATGCCTGAGGGCTGGTGCCTCCTGTGGCCCGCGCTTAAGTGTCTGCAGGGTGGCGCCTCACGTGATCTCAAGATCTGAAAGGGGCCCCCACTTGTGTGAGCCCCAAGACTGGGAGGTGTGCCCTTGCGTGAGCCCTGAGACTGGGGTGTGTGCCCTTGGATGAGTTCAGTGTCTGCGGGGTATGTCTCACGTGAGCCCGTGACTGGTGGGCAGTGTTTAAGCGTGACTTCATTGTCTGCAGGGTGGCGCCACCCGTCATTGGGGGGCAGCGTCTGGCGGGAGTTCAGAGTCTGCAGGGTGGAGTCGGCATCTCACGTGACTTTCCTGCCTGACCAGGTCAGACAGGATAAGGAGCTGTCATAGCTTCCCTTTCACAGCTTCAGAGGCAAGAGCCTCTTCTACAGCCCACAGAATTCAAGATGTTAGCTTACAGCAGCATCTTCAAGGACCCTGTGGTCACAGAAGTTATTTTTCACTAGTTGTAACTAAAAAATTTTTAAAATTTTTAATTATTTTATTTTATAGTTCAGAAGACAGTTTCTCAGAAAGACTCATTAATTATAAAGGTGCTAAGACACCAAGAATAATAGCTATAATTAACTTAAAGATTCATCAAATAAATTATGTTCTGAGATACAGGGTCTTACGACTTCCTCTTATAAGTTTCTTGAGGACACAATTCAGCCTAACAGGTGTACTTATAAACCAGTGTATTAGACAACAAATTATTAGCATTAAAGAGTCAGCATTTGGGATTCATATATAACCGAGTGATGAGTTGAAAGAGAAATCAGAGTGAAGGGACACATTTAGATAAAGTTAGAGAGGTTCTTGAAGGTCCTGTAAGTCTGTAAGCCTACAAGTGCCTGTGCCAGTTGAGGGCTGTCCCAGTGGCCTGCCCACCCATGGGGTTCGAATGAGCCTTGGAAAAGGCTGCCATTGGGTTGGAGGTCTGAATAGTTAAGTTACCTCATTGTTTTCCTGGAGGTAGCTAGGTTCTCTTGGACTTACAAAGGTTTTCCCAAGTTCCATGGTGGCTCAATCAAATTAAGTGAGAAATACAAAGGCAGGTTTGTGGGAAGGAGAGGAGACTCACATCAAAATGACGTAGGAGAAACACCTCCTTATGGCTGATGGGATAGCGCCATTGGGCCATCACTATCCAATATAAGGAGTAATGAGAACAAGTCACCAACCTCAAAAGCAAGCCTTCGCCATCTGTCATCCATGGTGAAGGATGGAAGGAGTGGGTATTAGCATAGAGCTAAAGATAGCTTGGTCTAATAAAAGACCTGTTCTGTTTTTGGCCCCATCAGGGGGAATTTACCTGCATATCAGGACTTGGAAGAGGAAATGAATGAATGGTGCTAAATTATAAATCAAAAACGTCACTAAGAAATTTTTGGATTGGGTTGAAAAAGTCAGAATTGAGTTATTAGATAGATTTAGGATTGAAGTTAAAAATAAAAAGTAGACATCAAATTATAGAAATGAAGTTTCACTTTTGCCAGTCCGTGTCTTCAGAATGTATTACTGTGAAACTCACTTTTACATGTACCAGTAAGCTCTGCCTCTCTCCCTATAGCAGATGCTATCATCACTCTTTGTTCAGCTCAGAGATGCACAAATTTTCTCATTAAAGCCATGTAGGAAGTCCTTATCAACTGACTACAGTCACATAGAAATTAAAACTAATTTTCTACATGTAACAAAGGAACAAAATTAATATAATCTTCCCAGATTCAGTGTGGCCCTAGGTTAGGGGTTATCATGGCAAAATAAAAAATATTTAAAAACTCCTCATTCTTTCATATGAAATTTAGCATTATCTATCCCTTGTCTAAAACACCATGAGGTTAATTTACTTGACTTAGCATATCCCAGCTATTATATAAACAACAAGGCATAAAGGAAGATAATCAGTATGGTGGAGGATTATGGATGCCTCCGTGGGAAGAGAACTATGGTGACAGAAATCCTATTCTGTGAAAAAGTTAACAAGTATGTAAAAAAAGAAAAGAAACCACAAAACACTACACTAACCCACTTTTAAGATTTACATCTTCATTTATACACAAGCCTTTATTAATTTTTATGAAGAGCTTATTGTGGCAACTTTTCTATGCATCACTCAGACATCCTTGGGTGAATCAATTGTGTCTTGTCTTTAAGTACAATCAATAAATTACACACTTCTGAGCTCTCACAAGTTGAGCCCTAAAAACATGCAGGGTCTGAAAAGGTGTTAGGTTATTTGAATTTATTCACAGATTACTTATAAAGTTGAGCATCTAGCTACATTGAACATAATGAAAATTGGTATGTGAATAAATATCACCCATGTTGCATGTATACTCACAGCTCCTGCTCTCATGCCTATAACAGATACTGCAAATCTATTGTAGTTTTTTTTCCCCCTTAGAATCTAACCATAGAAATGGTGCTGTATCCCTCAGGTTGTCAGAGACACTTGATCAAAGTTGGCATGGATGTGTCACCCATTGGGCACCCATAATTTTAAGGAATTGTTCTGGAAAACATATTCTCAGGTAACAGGTCAGCAACAGCTTCAGCAGTAGACAGTGTGTGAGTCTCTGACTGTGGGTTAGAGATTCCTTTCCTGAAGTTTGTTGGCCAATGCTTTGTTTCTTGGAAGAAAGTAAAATGTGGCTGTCAGTGAGTAATGGGTTTAAAAGATACTAGCTGTTAGCCCTTCACTAAGAACCAGTATTATAGATTCAGTAAGTCATCATAGGATAAATATTCTTATTTTTATCAGAAAAATAGAAGACATGTTAGAAATCAAGTCAGATTTAGGGGGAGGTAATACGGGCAATTTGGGAACAAACTACAGGGCATGAATACTGAAATACAGAGGATTTATTTTTCATTGCATGCAGATGAGTAGCTGATTTACTAATAGTAAAATGTTGGGTTGACACTATACATTAAGAGATTGAGGTCTATGAAAGCCATGGGGTGGTAAGATGCCAAGGAGAATATTATGATTATAATCTGTTTGATAAAAGACTGATGCCTTCTAGAGAACTTTCCAAACTAATGTTGATGAGTGGGCTTTCTCGCTCTCTTGCTCTCGTGTGTGCTTACACACACACACACACACACACACACACACACACCCCATTTATAAAGAATTTCACAAATTAAGATAAATGGCTTCACAGAAGTATGTACATACCTCAGAGATCTGTGGCAGACAGATGAATCAAATTTAGCAGAAAAATTGAGATAGAGCTAATCCAACTAGCTAATTCTGGCTTCTACTAGGGTAATATAGAAAAATGCCAGGGAAAACTTTGTATTTAATTAATATCTTTTCATCATCTACAAAGTGCCTTTATTGCCATTCCTTGTTAATCATAAACACCAGTTGTGATCAGATTAGAGAAGCTGCAGAATTTCCTAGTACTTGGTATAAAATCCACATCATTGGGATTTTATCCTAACAATCAGTTTTCCCAAGCCCTGTTTCATGTCTTTGTTCCTTAGACTATAGATAAATGGGTTTAGCATCGGAGTCAATATGGTGTAGAAAAGTGTTGCTATTCGATCCCTGACAGTATAGCTGGAGAGGGGTTGGAAATAGACATAGCTGATACTTCCATAAAACAGGGCGACCACGGTGAGATGGGAGCCACAAGTAGAGAAGGCCTTGTACTTCCCAGCAGCAGAAGGGATCTTCAGAACAGCGATGAGGATTCTCAGATAGGAGATTATGATGCACGTGAAAGGGGTCATGATGACAGACAGTCCTTCTGTCTTAATTACGATCTCATTGACAAATGTAGATGAACAGGACAACTTCAGCATTGGGTTGACATCACAGAAGAAGTGACGGATTATATTGGAGGCGCAGAATTTGAGTCGATTCGCCAATTGGACATGGAGGAGTGAGTGAAGAAATGGGACGAGGAAGGAGATTATCAGTAGAAGGACACAGAACTTACGGCTCATTATGGTGATGTAGTGGAAAGGGTTACATATGGCCACATAGCGGTCAATGGCCATGGCTCCTAAGAGGTAACTGTCTACATTCCCAAAGGCCAGGAAGAAATACATCTGTGTCAGACACTCATTATAGAGGATGGTTTTTGCCTCTGATAAGAAGTTTACGAGCATCTTTGGAATAATAACTGTTGTATAGCACATGTCAACAAAGGACAGGGTGCTAAGAAAGAAATACATGGGTGTCTGCAGGTGACTATCGGAATAGATGGCCAGGATAATTAGCAGGTTTCCTACCAGAGTGACCAGGTAGATGATAAGAAATAAGACAAACAGGGGCTTCTGGTCCTCAGCTCTCGAGGAAAGTCCCAGGAGGATGAATTCAGCAGGTCGTGTTAGATTGTTCCATCTCATGGTTTTGCTATGCTAAAAGAGAAGTAAAGTAAAAATTAATAGACTGTCCTACCATTTGAAGCATGCATTTTCCAAGCACCTTTCTTTATCTGCACTACTGCTTTCCTCCACTAATTCACTAATATTTTCCACTTCCCTTTTATTTCTAAGAGAACCATTGGAGAAATAGAATAGACAGGAGGGTGGGAAGATCAGAGACACAAATAAACACAGAGATGTCCCTTTTCTGTCTTCTTGTATTCTGTTGCTAATCATTTCTGACTTAAAGTTTGGGGCAATATATATGGCTGGGGACAGAATAGAGACTGGAGGAAATATCTGTTTGTTTAGGATTTTAGTAAATAAACTTGCCCAGATAGTTGTACCCAACTTTTTTTTTTTTAAAGATTTATTTATTTATGTATCCAGAACTGGGATACAGGCCAAAGGTGGAGGGGCAGTGAGAGGCTTCACCAGAGACGGAGTGGGGAGCAGAATAGACCGACTGATGAAGTACATTGCTAAGGGGACCAGTGGGCAGGTCAGAGAGGTCTGCCCTGCCATGTGGATCACCTCTGGAGCTGGAATCGAATTCATGCTGAAGTGGCTTTAGCTTCTCAGTGCTGTGCTTTAACCTGCTGCGCCACCAGGGTGGGCCTGTACCCAGCTTTCGAGTCATCTTGAATTTATATGCTCCTCCATATCACTAATCCTAGAATTAGGACATTGAATTCTGTTATTACCTTACATAATTTTCCAGCATTAGAAAATGTATCTATATTTTCCATACATCTTAAATGTATTCCCTTCCTCTCTCCACCTCCAGCCCCATAAGTCATCATTTGAGAACAGAAGAAAAGATACAAATAGAGACATGGATACAGCAGAGATAACATAAATAACATTTTGTTACTTTCAAACTCATCTCCTTTCTCTCCAGCTTTGTGAGTTGTAACTCTGAGTGTGTATCTGTGCAAGTGTATTTACTTGTATCCTGCATTTGCGTTTATGACCTTCTCAACCATAGTTACAGCTGCCTAGGACTTACTTGGTCTTGACAAGCACACCAATCCTTGATTTTGAGTGATTCCTTTCCAATCCTGCAAGTCTCTCCCAATCAGATGGAACTGTGTGACACGTTCTGTGATTTTTGTCTTGTGTAGTTTCCTCAAATACATGGAGTTCATTTGGGAAAACAAATACAAAACAACCAATTATTTTCAATTATGAAAGGCACTAAAGGGACCAAGAGAGTCATATCTCAAAGTTTCTACTCTATGTGGCCCTGTCTCTCTCTGAGTCTCCTAAATTCCGAGTAATGCCTGAACATTTTGGTAAAGGAAACAATGCCCAAGAAGAAAGGAATGAAATGGGAGAAAGTATTTACAAACCATGGTAAGGAGTTAAATACAAAATATGTAAGGTATGCCTACAACTCAAGAGTGAGAAAAAAACCCAATTAAAAAAATTGGCAAGGGATTTGGATAGACATTTTCTCCAAAGAAGGATATAGTTGTATATTATAATGGGGAATCTGCTATTTACTAAAACATAATGGGAATTAAAAAAAAATAGTTGTTGTTAGTGGTATCAGTTTATCTTTTTGATTGCTGAGTAGTATTCCATTGTGCATAGATATACCACAAAATAAAACAAAACCCGACAATTCTAAACCAGGGAGATCCTACAGGGGAGGTGTACAGAGAGTGATCGGAATGAAGGGGGGAGGAATGTGGGGAACTGTGGTGATGATGGGTAGGTGAGGTGGGGGAGGAGGGAAATAAAATGAAAAATAAATAAATAAAAATAATGAAATAAGAAGAAATAAGCAAAGTTGAGGGACTAAAAATAATTGTTGTTAGTTCCCAATGAAATTGATCCTGTATCATATGTATAATTTCAGAATTCTATAAGCATATATTAGTCCCACAATATTGGACTGATTAAGCCAAGAATAGGGAGGTCATTACTTTAGGGACGGCGTAGAGGTAGAATTGATCCAGAAGGCCCATAAAGTAGATATAAATTATCATCAGTGTTACTGTTCTGCCTTGGACAGTCTATTGTGGTCACTTATAGTGATATTCTATGCCAAGGAAATAAGAAAGCAAGATGATTTGGGGGGCCAAGGTAAAGACTGTAGCATGCTATGAAGATTATGATGCATCTAGTGTGGTAGTCTTGAGGCTGAGGGAAGCAGGCAGTTACAAGCCTTCTACCTGTGGCCCTCCAACTCTTGCTGGTCTAAATCCAAGGATCCAAGGATCCTTGATCCAGTCCATTCCAAATCAAATTTCCATTAGAAGCTCAAGGTAGATCTTAATAAGGCAATAAAGAAAAGTAGGAATGAATGAACAATGTCAACACACCTAGGGGTAGGGAAAGCAATTTAGGGAAGCTTCTTTCCTCAAGTGCATAGGTCTGGACAGCCAGGATTTGCATTATATGACCTTATTATTATTATTATTATTAATAAAAGTTAAGGTGACTTTGGTTTAGAACACTGTATATAATTTAGAAATATAGGCTTTCACTCTTCAGGTTTATGTTACACCACACCCACTCCCATTGTCCTCCAGGGTAGTCCATTATGCTCCCTTCCTACCCTGTTCTCCACCTTTCCCTCCTCCTCTGGTAGCATCAGACTTTATTAGTTTAGTTAAAATTGACCCTCTGGCCCTCCCTGGTGGCGCAGCGGGTTAAAGCACAGCACTAAGAAGCTTAAGCCACTTCAGCATGAGTTCGATCCCCACCTGCCCCCCAGATGACCACATGGCGTGGCAGACCTCTCCTGACCTGCCCGCTGCTCCCCTCAGCAGTATACTTCGTGGATCTGCCTGTTCTGCTCCCCACGCTGTCTCTGGTGAAGCCTCTCACCCTCTGCATCTCTGGCCTGTACCCCAGTTCTGTATGAATAAATAAATCTTTAAAAAAAAATTGACCCTCTGTTTCTCTATATTCCACATGTAAATGAAACCGTCTGGTATTTGTCTGTCTCCTCTATTTTAAAAATGAAGAAAAAATTAAATAAAATTATTTTTTATTGAGGTAATGTTGTTTACAGCACTGTGTATTTATTAGAGATATATATTTTGCATTTCCTCAAATGTACATTACCACACTACTTCCATCACCAAAGTACCCACAGTCCTCCACCTTGGTCCATTGGGCCCCTATCCCACTTTACTTTTCACCTTCCCTCAGCCTTCCCCCTCTAGTTCTGTGGTGAGATTTCAAGGGTCTGCTTTGGTTTGGTATTAGCTGTCTATATTTTTCACATGAATGAAAGCATCTAGTATTTGCATTCCTTCTTCTGATTTATGCCACTGATTTATTTTTTAGTTCTATGCACATTGTCACAAATGGAAAATTTTCCTCCTTTTCTTTTAAGATTTATTTATTTTATGGCCTGGGGTACAGGACAGAGGCATGGTGGGTGAGAGGATTCACCAGAGACAAGAGTGAGGAGCAGAAAAGGCAGATATACTGAAATACACTGCTGAGGAGAGCATATTATTTTACCTATGCATATTTAAATATCAGTTTCTATAGGATAAATCCTTTTTACAAGCACAATGCCATCATCATACTTGAAATTCAGTCTTTTGATAACATAAAAAATCTAGTCAGTGTTGAAATTTCCAATTATTTAGTAAATATTGTAAAGGTTTCTATAGTTAAAGAAATCGTGACCCAAAGAAGGTTGTGATCAGTTGCTGCACATATCATATTTGGTTATTTAGCAGTAAGCTCTTCTGTGTTGGTAGACAGTGGAAAATACTGGTCTGTGCCCCATTTGTGATCATTTCCACAATATTTAGTTGATATCAATATGCCATGCCATTATTATTATTATATTTTATGATGAGACTGAGACTCTCTAAGTTGCAAATAATCTCATTATTTTTCAATATTGTCCCCACTTCTTGATGCACCTTTCATTGCTCAAATAATTGTTAAAATCAAGTATTATGAATTTGATAGTCTAAAATAGACTAGCGAATGGACAGGTAGATTCTAGCAGAAGGATATGGTTGGTGAGAACTAGAAATGAAAATGTCATTGGCGAAGATAATGTAAACACAACAGTGTTTAAGAAAGGTTGCATTTTTGCCTAGTTATGTCTTGTAACTAGTTTGTTAAGATGCCTAGATTTAAAACAAACATCCAAGAATTACAGAAAGGTTAGGTTTGGAAGGATAGCTTCTTAGGAGGATGACATTGGAGGTCAGTTTCCTCTGGGGCTTTCTCCTTATCCAGCTGTTGACATTATGAAGGTTATGGAGTCCCCCAAAGGGCAGACTTTCTTTAGAAAGAGTTTTTTCTAGAAGCTTTATGATTTTTGTCTCAGTGAGGTCTACACATAAAGAAGAAATAAAAAAAACAGACTCAGGGGCTGCCATCCCTTTGAAAAATGTAGGTAAAAGGGCTCAGCCCAATTAATTAGCATTTCATCTGAACATAATTGGAGTCTCCTGGGGTGAGTAGAGTCCCAGCGTGAATACACGAATGAGGCTCTGTTATTGGGATGAGTTGCCCATAAAACACTTCTCAGGAAAATAACAAAAAGGCAACTCCTGATTTTGTGAGAATGTGGTGAAGCAGGGAACACAGCTCTACATGACTTCTAACGTGGGTGTTTGATGTTAGATACAGAGAAGTTGAGAACAAGGAGCTTTGAACTGAACTGGAGGTGGGCAAACAGGGTCAGAGACTTCTATTTTTGGTTATATTTTCTACATTCCAGATGAAAAGTTACATGTTCGTGAACAGATAGAGTATTTCAGCAAAATGTCAGTACTCATGTAGCAGCCTCAAATATCTCCTTGGCATACTGTGTGGAACTTCCTGTGGGGAAGAGCTGATCTGAAATGACATGGAGATCTCATCCACCGGCAGGTGATATGATTCATCAGAATACATTTTTCATTGAAACTCAGTCATTAATAGTTACTGCACTTAAAAATAAACTAATAAAAATTTCTGATTCTGTTAATAAATTCTACTTTAATCCCAGGTGAGTTTGATAGACTTAATGGAACAGAAGTAACCCTATGGAAAGAATACAGCAAAGCTTCTGGACAAAGCTAGGACCAGCTCTCACTCAATACTGTATCATAGATGTAGAGACTCAGTCATCTGACTGGAACCTTGACATCTGTTCCTTCCCTTTCCAGCCCTAACAACCAGTGGTGTGTGGTGCTTAAGCCCAAACACATTTTACAGGTTAATTTATGTTTTGTTACTCAGATTCTGTAAAACCATCAGTAGTCTCTTTGCCATCGTTTTCTCACCTGTAATATGATTTAAAAGTAGTGTCTGCCAGATGGGATTGTTGTAAGCATTGACATTTGCTTGATAATTTATTTCCTAGCTCATAGCAAGGATCAAAAAAATAGCGTTTAGTGAGTTCTTCCTTGTTATACAGTGCATTTCATAAAAGCAGGGGGGAGGAGGGCCATGTAAAGCTTATGCAACTGTGTTTAGTATCTGTCAAATTGAGAGCTTGTAAGTGGTCAATAAATGAACCTGCAAGAGGCTGTGGAGTGAGTGGTGAGGGGATAGATAGAAAGATCATAATCAAGGGAATGGAATACAAGAAAAAACTTTGGAAATTAGAAGCACCCAAGCAAGAAAAGATGTTCCCTATAAGCTATCCTAGAGTGAATTTTAGTACTGTTTGAGCCTGACACTTTTTTCCCACAGGTGATGTGGATCATATCTGATGGCTAATAGAAGCAGGACAGCAGTGACAGACTTTGTCTTACTGGGTCTATCCAACTTGCCAGAGATGCAACCAGTTATTTTTGGGGTTGTCCTGGCCATGTACCTGGTGGCCGTTATGGGCAATGCTCTTCTAGTGGCTGTTGCCCTATCAGACCCCAAGCTCCAGACCCCCATGTATTTCCTGCTCAGTCAGCTTTCCTGCATTGACATATTTCTGACAACCATCACTGTTCCCCAGATGCTGGCGCACACACTGTCCATGACTAGAACCATCTCGTTTAACTGCTGCATGACCCAGCTATTCTTCTTCATGGCTGTGGGCAGCATGGAAGGCCACTTGTTGGCTGCCATGGCCTATGACCGCTATGTTGCCATCTGTGACCCCCTAAGATACTCTGCCATTGTCAGCCGTCATTTATGCCTGCGTATAACCTTGATGTCATGGGCAGTTGTCAGCCTCAATAGCCTCCTGTATAGTGTACTGGTCACCCGCTTAACCTTCTGTGGCAACCAGATCACCCACTTCTTCTGTGACATCACACCCTTGCTGAAACTCTCTTGCACCCGGCCAGTGGTCAATGAGATGCTAATATTCACTGAGGGCGTAGCAGTGGTGGTCAGCCCCTTCTTCTTCATTTTAGGGTCTTATGCCCGCATTGGTGCTGCCATTATCCGCATGCACTCACTCACTGCCCTGCGCAAAGCCCTGTCCACTTGCAGCTCCCATATCCTGGTTGTGCTGCTCCTGTATGGCTCTGTGATCCGCATGTACCTGCGGCCATCTTCCAGCTATAACTTGGACCAGGATCGCCAGGTGGCCATCTTTTACACAGTGGTCACGCCTATGCTGAACCCTCTGATCTACAGCCTGAGGAACCAGGAGGTTAAGGGGGCTCTGCGAAGGCTTTTCAGGAAATGCTGCATCTCAAGAAACTTCCAGCCTGGTTCCCAGGCAAACAGGAAATGGCAACACATTTCCTGAGCCCCAGGTGTTAGCTTGAAAATGTCTCAGACAGAAACGGTCCCTTCCTAACAACAGGTATGGTTCACATTTTTATGGAATGACCTTCTTGGTTAGTACCTTTTTGTTAGGGTTTGGGAAGACTGAGTTCACCAGATATTCTGGTCCCTAGCAATCCCTGCATTTAGTTTCAAAATACTCATTGTAAAACTATCTGAAATGATATTTTAAAATCACATCTAAATTTCATATTTTTTCATATTTAATATGGGGCATGGATCAAATAGGGCCAGATAATTACAAGTCAGTGTGTTCTTCAGGGTTTTGATGGTATAACATGTTTTCAGAGAGAAGCAGCCTGAGTTACAATGTCATTAAATAGAAGAGTGAGTTTTTGGTAAACTGGAGAGAAGCTTCAGCTTCTGTTAAAATTGCAGTGAACTTATGGTCCCTCATCATTTCAGCAACCTCTCACCTCACTTCAGTACTTACTGTGGCTGGCTTATTCCATCTGAACTTTGCCCCACTCCAGGAAAGACAGTGTAGGTCACTTACGATAATGGGTGCTGGCACAGGCTCTGCCTGGTGTCTCTCGTGCCAGGAGAATGTGGTCAGATTTGGGACATGGGTGAAGCAGAGCTATTTAGGTACACTATCATATTGATATAGTAAATAAGAACAAAAGGAGAGTCAGGATGGAACGTGAAGAGGGTAGAATGACCTTGCCACTTTTTTATGTGTGGAAGGTTTTGTGGAAGTGAAGGTTTTGTGTATTTGGTTTGGGAGGGACACAATCAATAACACTGTTTCTGGTCATGTTAAATTTTGATATCCATCCTATTGTAGATGTTTCATAGGCAATTGAATACATAATTTTGAGATTCATGGGGAAATTGTATCTTGAGCTCGAAATGTCACCAGATGTAAATGATATTTGAAACTTTGGGGTGGATATTACCTAGGAAAAAACACATATAAGAGTTATATGGATGGAAACCTGAGATGGGTGTGCACTCGACATTACAGTTCTGGAAAGGAGTTTGCAAAGGAAACTGAGAAATGGCCATTAGTAAGAAGAAAGCAGAAAGTCTGGTGGATAGCAACCCTAGAAAAGAGTGGTCTTTTGCTTATCTTTGACCTGTTATCACCCATACCACCACCCCCTCCCCTGGTAACCACCCAGTAGCATTTCTGTGGAGAAATCCATTGATAACATTATGGGGTTTCCCTGGTCAGTAATGACACTTTTTCTTGTTACCTTCATTCTCTCTTTGTCTTTGACTTATTTTAATTTGATAGCAAAAACATAAGGAGGTAGGATGACAGGGAAATAGAAGTCAGGAAATATATGAAGTAAAGGGGAGATGGATGCAGAATCCACATGGACTATGAGAAGATACCTGTCCATTTTTAAAGTCAGGCAGTGTTCTTTGGTTGAGTTGTACAAGTTGCTTATGTATCTGAATGTCGACCTCTTACCTGATATGTGGTTTACAGGTGTCCTCGCTCTCAGCAGGCGGCCGGCCGCCTTTGCATCTTAGTGAGGGTTTCTTTCACAATGCATGGGCTTTCTGTCCGAGGTAGTGCCAGGTCTTTATATTCTCTTTTCTTTCTCCTGCTGTTGGAGACAGACCCACAGAACATCACTGAGACTTACCTCAGAGAGCTTTTGCCTATGTTTTATTCTATATATTTTATAGTTTCAGGTATTATATTAAAGTTTTTAGTCCATTTGGGGTTGATTTTAGTGGCATGAGATGGTGATCTAGTTTCATTCTTTTACATGTGTCTGTTCAGTTTTCTCACCCCCTTTTATTGATGAGACTCTTCTTCATTGTATGTTCAGCAATGAGTAAAAGGTAGGTGATATATCAAAATATCACTATTATCACTATTATCAAAATAGTGATAAGCTCAGAATAAGTAGAATATATGGAGTCTATTTTTATAATTATTACTCATTACCAATAATATGCAGATGAAGAAATAGTGGGAGAAAAGGATGGAGCTGCTGGGTAGAGCTTTACATGTATCTGAAAGCTGTTGTGTGAGTGAGGGTAAGGTCAGGACTCAATCTACCTCTTTTTTTATTGACTGCACAGCTCCATAGTACACATATATTATACTGATTGGAATTTACTCTAAGAGGTAACTTAACTTCAGCGACTTAAAACAACAGACATTTATTTTTCAGTCAAAAGCCTGCAAGTTGTAAAAGGCAACTCTATACTTCAGACTCTGGGCCAAGTTCCATTCTGTTTACTTTTTCATTCTGAGACTCAAGCTAAGTGGCCATAGCTCTACAAGATGAACTTTCTTACGGTAAAGGCTAGTGCTTGAGAGAGTCTGAGGCAAACAGTCTGAGGCAGCTCCAGTCCATTCAGAACTTTTTATCGGAAGCAGCATTTGTTATGCCTATTCATAAACTGCTGGCTAGGGCAAGCCCAGACCCAGTGGGATGGGGGTGAATATTCCGCCTGGCTAAAGCTATGGCAGGGATGGGAAAGAGCTGGGGACAGGCACTATCTCTCTAACAGCTAAACACGGTGAGCTAGAATCGCATTAGTGTGCAGTGCATGAAACTTATTTTGAAAATTTCATTATCATGAACGAGTGCATTAAATACAAAATATATGCATATAGTTACACATTTGTAATGTATTCATGGTATATGTAGTCATTCTGAGATAAACTCCTGGAAGAGTAAGAGTATCATCTAAATGCAATAAATTTTGATGGAATTGCATAATTATTTTTCAAAAATGTACTCTCTTAACTATTTCTTCCCCTTAGAAAATTCTTGCCGTGGGAGTAGGGGGATTCTTAGAAGAGGTTCCATGTTAAGTGGTAGAGGATCCTAGAAGCTCTGGTGGGGTGCAACACATCTAATAGTTGTGAACCTGTACCCTTAAATCATGTACAGTACTGTAAACAAATTTTTCCTCAATAAAATAAAAAAAAGTGAGGCTTATCACTGATTTTATTTTATTTTTGCTTAGTATCATATCTATTGAGAAAATCCATGACATTTACCTAATTTAGATATTTCTAAAGTTCTAAAGAAGCAAATGTGTGAGGGACAAAGCCACATTCCCAGATTCTTAAACAAAATCTGAAACTGTGTTTTGGGGCTTTATTTGAAGAAATAAGTCTGTATTCGGCTGATCCACTTCTTGAAAGCTTCCTTGATGTCCCCATTCCTCAGGCTGTAAATAAAGGGGTTCAGCATGGGGGTTACCACTGTGTACATGACTGTTAGGATACGACCCTTGGTCACTGAGTAGCTGGAAAGAGGCCGGAAGTAGACCCAGGTGAGGGTGCCGTAGAATATGGCCACCACGGTGAGGTGAGAGCCGCAGGTTGAAAAGGCTTTCCACTTGCCCTTGGCTGAGGGGCTCCGGAGGATCACTGAGATGATGCAGGCATAGGAGATGATAATAAAGGCCAGAGCTCCATTGATGATAATCACACCTTCTACGTGAATCATTAGGGTGTTGAGGTGGGTGCTGGAGCAAGAGATCTTCATCAGAGGGTAGAGATCACAGAAGAAGTGGGGGATCCTGTTGTCTGCACAGAAGACAAGTCGGCCCATGAGATAGGTGTGCAGCAGGGCATGAAGATGGGAGAGGAGATGGCACACGACCACCAGCTGCGAGCACAGTATCCTGGTCAGGATCACAGGGTAGCGGAAAGGGTGGCAGATGGCTATGTATCTGTCATAGGCCATCACAGCCAGGAGGAAGTTTTCCATGGCTGCAAAGCAAATGAAGAAATAAGTCTGGACTAAACAGCCCATGTAGGAAATAGCCTTCGTAGAGGAAAAGATGTTCTGCAGCATCTTGGGGACCGTGGTTGAAGTGAAGCAAATATCAACCAAGGCCAAGTTACTGAGGAAGATGTACATGGGGGTGTGGAGGCGGGGAGAAGAGATAATCAGTGTGATGATGGCAAAGTTGCCGGAAATGTTGATTGTGTACATGAATAGAAAAAGAATGAAAAGTGGAATCTGCTCTTCTGGGCGAGTGGACATGCCCATGAGGACAAAATGAGATACACTGGTCCAGTTGTTGTTAGCCATCTGTTGCCATGAGAACAAAACAGATTATTTATAGTTTTGAATGCTGGCATAGGCTGTTTAGATACCATGCATTGGTCATGCAATGTCAACTACACATGATTCTGATAAAGGAATCAAGGGCTCAATTAGAGATAATGATTTAATTGTGATCAGTGATAGTCACCGTCACCATAGCTAACATTTACAGAATATTTACCTGAACCTTGAACCAGGGCCTTTGCTGTATTAACCCATTTAATTCTTAGAATAACTCTATGAGGCAATTCTATGATTTTAATTCTAATTTTGTAAGTTAGAAAACCGAGGCATGGAAAATTTAAGTTCATAAAGGCAGATTCAAACTTAAAGTTGAGTTTATCTGACTTAAAAGACTATGCCATTGGGCCCTCCCTGGTGGTGCAGTAGGTTAAAGCACTGCACTAAGAAGCTAAAGCCACTCCTCATGAGTTCGATACCCCCTGCCCCGGAGGTGACCACATGGTGAGGCAGACCTCTCCTGACCCGCCCGCTGCTCCCCTCAGCAGTGTACTTCGTCGATCTGTGTGTTCTGCTCCCCATTCTATCTCTGGTGAATCCTATCATCCTCCGCATCTCTGGCCTGTACCCCAGTTCTGTATGAATAAATAAATAAATCTTAAAAAAAAAAAGACTATGATGCCACCCTCTGCAAATTAAAACCATGACATCTCATTTAGGGTAATAAGACCAACTGATGAGTTTTGTAACCAAGAATTCTGCCTGCTAAAGGATTTTGGAGGTCATTTGGCCCAGCGAGTCCCATTTTGAGGAGGGCATGCCCTTGGTGGTTGCCAAAGACTTCTCAAGTTGTTCAGACATTGTTTTCATAGAACTACCCTGTTGAATCTCAACTTTTTTCTTTTTTGTGTCATTTGTTTTCAAGCTGTTTTTTAATGTATTATTTTGCCTCCCACTTAATGAATGAAAAGCATACTTTCATCCATCCCAAATTTTACTAGATGTAGAATCCTCAGCATGGAAACCTCAAAAGAGCAAAAAAAAAGGAACAATTAAAAATATTTCAAAAATTAATGACTTTAATGACCAGATAACAAATCTAACAAATCCATTTCCAGATTAGTGAGTTTCCCAGTCTCTGATCTAAAAAAATAGAAGGTGACTAACCTAGTTGTTAGCACATCATTAAAAATCATTTTTATAATATGTGAAACTAGTTTCTTTCATCTTACTTGGATAGCAAGTCACAAGTGACATCATCAAAGTTCTTTAGCTCTCATCTACTTATATAAGTGAACATGTGCTGTGTCTCTGGCAATGAAAAGAAAGCTATGGAATACATTGGTTTCTGACTCTTTTTTTTTAATGTTCATTTATTTATGCATACAGAACTGGGGTACAGGCCAGAGGCGCAGGTGCAGTGAGAGGATTCACCAGAGACAGAGTGGGGAGCAGAACAGGCAGATCGACGAAGCACACTGCTGAGGGGAGCAGCGGCAGGTCAGGAGAGGTCTGCCACGCCATGTGGATCAGCTCCCTGACTGGGGATTGAACTTACACTGAAGTGGCTGTGGTAAGCTTGCAGAGCTGCACCCTAACCCATTGTGCCACCAGGGAGGGCCCCCAAAGTGCGTAGGTTTTAACTAAGGGGTATGTGAGCAAAAAATAAGATCCAAATCTTTCAGTGTTCAATCCCCTTTTATAGGATCATAAGGAAGTGAACATTCTTTTCTTCATGAATGCTTTCATGGTCAGGAAACTAAAGTGTGATTGCCTCTCATCTGGAGTGAGTTTATTTCTCTTTCTAGAATCCCACTGAGTGCAGCTACTATTCAGTATAAAGGTCCTTATGACATCCAAACAGTAACCCAGGTAGCACTGTGCAGTGGTTAAAAATCCAGACATGAGGCTGGAATCCTGGCATTTTCATTTATCAGCCAAATAAATGTGAGGAAGTTGCTTACCTTCTATGTGACTGGATTTTCTCCTCTGTAAATTGTGGGGTTATTTTTCCCCCTCTGTGATTGATTTATGGATAAAATGCATTAGCAATCCAAATCTCAGGCCAGTCTCTTCAGTTTGAGTTCGATTCCTGCCCCAAGTTTTTGTGAAACTTGAGAAGCTGACGCTAAAATTTACAAACATATGGGTCCTCCCTGGTGGCACAAGGTCAAAGCACAGCACTATGAAGCTGTCCGCAGCCACTGCAGCAGGAGTTTGATCCGTGGCCAGGTTGCTACCCACATGGCGTGCAGACCTCTCCCTGTCTCCTGCTGCTCCCCTTGGCAGTGTATTTCAGTCTGCCTGCCTGTCCTGGGCCCTCCTCCACCCCCACCCTTTTCTCCAGCACCTCTGTTCTGTATGCATAAATAAACTTCTTTAAAAGAATTTAAAAATGCATAGATGTATGCTTTCTTGATTAAGAGCACATTATTTATAAAGTTGTAAGTATTAATTGAGAACATTTGGTCCTTGGAAAACATATAAATGCTGGCAATAATCCCTCTAAGGTCTCAGCCTTGTTCTGCAGTCTCCAGGCTTTTCTAGAAGGATATCATTGCTGCATCAAGGTTTCTATTGTGAATCTGTTCCATGTTGCCACTGTCCTTACATGTGGTCCCCAGAACTAAACAAAGCCTGTGAGTCTGGCTTCTCATCACAGAGTAATCATAGTGATTGGCCCAGCCATAAATCATAGCCTTTTGGCTAGAGATCAGAGTTAAACAGTCCACAAGAGTATTGGAACTTGATTGTCCCACAAAATCTTAAACTTTACAATTAAGTGGTTGGGAGAAGAGCGCAGTTAAGAACCACTGTGTGAGGCCTTCCCTGGTGGAGCAACAGGTTAGGGTGCAGCACTGCAAGCGAGCAAGGGAGCCACAGTCTCTTCAGTTTGAGTTCGATCCCTGCCCCAGAGGTGTTGTGCCCCACATGGCACAGCAGACCTCTCTCGATCCGCCCACTGCTCCCCTCAGCAGTGTGCTTTGTCCATTACCTGTTCTGCTTCCCGCTCTGTCTCTGGTAAAGCCTCACACTGTCCCTGCACTTCTGGCCTGTACCCCATTTCTGTATGCATAAATAAATAAATCTTAAAAAAAAAACAAAAACCAACCACTATTTGTTAAACATTTTCACCTGCATAGCACCTTCCCAGGCTACCACTTCTGCAGTCGCCAGCACCCTCCCTTCACAGATGAGGGCATAGGGCCAAGAGGTGGCGCTCTCTGCATAACTCAGTGGGCAGGGCCTGGCTGGCCCTCTCTGACATCTGGATACCTCCAGTGCTCTTCCCTGTCTGCCCATATCCGGCTGCCTCTTTGGAAACGAATTTCCTTATCAACCTTTACATATGAAATCAACAAATCAGTTTTCATACCTGAAATTAATGGCCATCCCCACAGTGCCACTCGAGAGAGAAATTAGACTTTTGCAAATACAAAAATGTGCTCTCCTGACCTGGTTTCAGTGTGGCTTGGTGATGAGTGAAAAACTTGTAGCTACATTTCTTGAGAACATACTATATACTTGGGATTCTAAACTGATGTGTATGTGTTTCCATGTGGTGAGTCAGCCACCATGATCTGTGCTCTCTCCACGCTCTGCCACAAACTTCGGAAGCGTGGCAGTCCCCATTTGAATTCATGCCCAGGTAACCCCACATCAGTGCTCCCAGTCACTGGGCCGGCCCTCTTGAAGCTTTCCCTGACTGGCCCTCCTCCAGCTTTCTGTTTCTCCTTTCCCACTATGCTGTCTTGTACATTTAGCCAGGGCTGAGTGTCTGTCATAATGTTTCTAATTTCATCCTCGCAAAAATACTCGAGAGCTGACATTATTATTCCCATTTTCAGGCGATGCTATTAGGACCTGAAGGGTAGACTACACTGTCCACCAAGCATAGAGGTGGGCCAGGCCATCGGACTCCCTGGCTCCGAGGCAGGCCCCTTTCTGCCCCACCCCACCCATTCAACAACCACCTTTCATTCTCTTCTTGCACTTGGTTCCCCTTTGCTAGTTTGTCTTTGTAACTGGGCTTCAAATAGGATCAGGTGATCTTGAGTCTACAGCTTGGGAAATGTGGGGTGTTTATCCTTAGAGCTTAGGGAAAGCCATGAAGGGACTCAGCTTCACGGTTGGCTCAGTAGTGAGGAAATGAGCGGGACCCCATGGCAAAGTTGCTTGCTGTGCTCAGAAACTGCCATGGGGTGAGAAGGCCCCGCGCAGGTACTCACCCCGTGAACACCAGAGCCAATGACCATGGCCGGGACGTGGCTCTTCCACGCTCCCTCAGACAGCCGGGGTCATCAAGTCTTGCTCTGACAGCTGATTGCACCAGTCCACCCAGGGAGGCAGGAGGGAGTTACCCAGACCTGGAGAAGGCAAGGCATTGGGGAGCAGTTGCCGGGGTGCTTCTGCTTGGCCTGGCAGGAGGTCGTCTGGAAGAGGCGCTGGGACGCTTTATCACGCCCTGTATGGATTCATTCCGTGGCCCTCACTGGGGCGGCCTCCCAGATGTGCGATTGTCCAGACGCTCTGCCTTCCCCCGAGACTGAGGCCCACGAGGCGGTGCTTCCAACATTGGCATTAGGGCCTTGGTGACCCAGCTGATCCCCGAGGGAAGCCACGACCTGGGAGATTATCCTGGACGTGGGGTTTTTTGATATGGCTCCAAAATTTGAGGATGAGAAGATGGTTCACAGATCTTAGCTATAGTCTGGCCCTGGCCCTGAATCTTTGAAGATATTGCTTTCTGCCTTGTACCTCTTTTAAGTGGTACACAATTATTTTTTAAAAATGGAAATATAACCTGCATCCACATTCTGTTAGCTTCAGGCAGTATGTGTACAATTTTGTTTTGACAAAAATGAGGTCATTTGGTGTGAGGTTTTTTTGTTTCATCAATATACCATCGACCTCCTCTGCCATGGACAGCCTTGTCCTCATTATTTTTAAGTTATTTTGTATTTTGTTAGATGCACTGTAGGTTATAAACATTCCCCCACTCATGTCACTGATGTACCTCCTTT